CACGCACGCACACACACACACACACACACACACACACACACACACAATCTGACTCAAAGTCAGCTCTTGTGAAAATTGGATGAATGATGCCCAATTATTTTTGATCTGATTCTACTAAAGAGAAAGAGATAAAAACAGGGCTGCAGCTAAATCTGTAATGATTTTCTCTAAAATAAATCAAAATTTTCAACATCAATTATATTTAAAAAATGAAAAATAAAAAAACATCCTGATTCAAATGAAAATGCTGAACAGAGAGCTGTGGAAACAATAATAAAAGAAGATGATGTTTGCAACTGTGTTTAAGGTGAAAAGTGCAAACTACAATAAAACTAAACTACTAGAATGCAATTTTTATTACTATTAAGGCATAATTATGTGCACTATTAAAGGTTTTTCTAATTCCTTCATCATGTTGGAATGTTTGACTGAAGCAGGTATGTTTTAAAGTCCACACAACACACACACACACACACACACACACACACACACACACACACACACACACACACACACACACGCTAACAGACACACAAATACACTATTACATTTATTTATTTCTCAAGATGGAGAAATAGATCACTTTCACTAACTCTTGTTTCACATTGTTGAATTATACAGAATTTATCATAAATGGATGTATTTTTGCTGGACAGTTCCCTGAAATGACAATAAATTAAATTGAATTAAATTAAAACTAAATGAATTGTTTATGGACTCCCCCTCTAATAAATGGTAGGTTTTATTTTTATGACATAAATGATAAACTTCATTTTTGACAAACCAACAATCAGCTCAATCTGCTGCCACAGGATWAAACATTTTGTTGTTTCAATGCTTATTCCTAAAGTATCATCACTTTTTTTATTTTTAACTTACTCAAAAGAGAAATTTTGCAAAATTTTGGTTTTACAATGCTGTGTGATTTAAAAAGTTTCTAAAGAAGATGTGCACTTATAAATCCACACATGCARTTTACCACAACACTGGACTTTATTTGACCTCTTGTCAAGTGGTCTATGAGCATGTTTTAACACACATAATCCCACTCACTCTGCGTAATCCCGCTTGCAGTAAAATTTGCGCTCCCGCAGAAAGCAGGAGTTCCTCAGGGCGTCTCCGCACGCTGCGCACCTCACGCACTCCTCATGCCAGAGGCAGCCAGTGACTCTGAGCAGGAATCTGTCCCTGATGGGCCGGTGGCATCCAGCGCACACTGCCTGCAGAGACATATCTGCAAGGTAAAACCCACCAGTTAGCAAATGAAAGCCTTTATTTTGAAAATCCGCATGTTTAAAGACGGGTTTTGAAAACGAACCGAGGGTTTCTTTTTATGTTTTACATTTGTTGGTTTTTTTGCTCTAAACTGTACAGCTAAGGAACAACGATAGAAATCAACTAAAATTGGAGGAAACATAAGTAAACACGTCAAAACCACAGAACAAAAAGTTAGCATAAGTTTTTGTGCAAACATAGAACGAAACAAATGAAAAAATAATTAAAGCTGATGAAAACACTCACCAGTAAAACGCGAGTTTCTTGACGGAGAGAAAAGTGTTTGGATCAGAAAAGTCCAAGTTGTCCTCCGGGCATCTCCGGCTCTCAGTCGGTTCTTGCAGCGCCTGGAAACTTCCCCCACCGGGCCTCAACGCGCTCTCTGTCAATTATCCTGTTAGGACTGAAGAGGAAGAGCCAGGAGAGAGGAGAGTCTTCCTCCATGTGCAGGTGCAACTTACCTCTCCCCAAGTACCCCC